TGAATTCAAACTTATTATCTCCCATTTCTCCACACAAGCACAATTTAAATACGGATATTGGTTTCCAGTGTCAATATTATATTGCTTCAAATTGCTTCCATTGTTTTAAAAAGATATCTTTTGTTTGTCACATGCATAGGGCTGTTCATGATAACTTGCAAAAAAAACAAACTTTGTGCAAGACTTATATTGGAATTAAAGGAAGTCATAGATTTCTGGCATTCAGTTTTAGATTTACACACTTCAAAACTGAAGATTATAAACATATCAACATGACCTGGGGTGGGAGGGAGAGAGAGAGATGAGAAGGTTCTGTGTAGGTTTATTACAGCACCTATTAAAAACCTGGAAGAGAGGGCGCCTGGGTGGCTCAGATGGTTAAGCGTCTGCCTTCGGCTCAGGTCATGATCCCAGGGTCCCGGGATCGAGTCCCACGTCGGGCTCCCTGCTCCTTGGGAGCCTGCTTCTCCCTCTGCCTCTCTCTCTCTCTCTGTCTCTCATGAATAAATAAATAAAAAAATCTTTAAAAAAAAAAAAAACCTGGAAGAGATAGCATGCACTCTTCCATAAATCTGGTAGTCTCAGTTGAGAGGCAGTCATGGCTCTAGCACATGGGAAAGGCTCAATAAATATTAATTTCGTAGTTAAGATCACATCTGTGGAGACAGATCACCTGGGTTCCAGTCCTGGCTCCATTACTTACTAGAACTAGTGGTGTTTGTGTCTCTCCAGCTGGCATGAGGGGGTCGGGCGGAGAAAAGGCTCATACTCCATTACATTAGTTATCATGACATTTATTCAAGTATTTGCTATTATTTGTCTTTTCGATTTTCAAGGCTGTTGACAAATAACATTAGCTACAACGCCTTTAAAATGTTGGTGGTAATATTTATCATTTGATGTCTCCATTTGCCTGGCTTGTTTAGAAATGGTACAACATGGTATCCCACAATTGTCTACCCCGGAAAAACAATTTAAAATTACCCTAAAATACATTGTAATAATCAGATATGAGCACCTGTGAAATCTACACTCTTCTATACTTGTTTCTTCAAAACGTCCATAGGATCCCACACACCAGTCAGAGGCTCCAAACTCAGTGCCCACCATGAAGATTTCACATGTGAGTGAGGCTGACTTCTTGCACTACCTGAATAAGGAGCTGCATCTGAGCTAAAGACACTGACGCCGTGGGGGATGCACATCCAGTCTGCCAGAGTGTCTAAATTTTCAAGAGATGCAGAAATTGGGATTTTTACTTTACATGATATTTCTCACTTAAAAATTTTTGACTCTGTTTATTTCTTGTCTTTTTTTAATTTTTACCTCTCAGTTTGTTTCTTAGTACAAAAGTCTGTGGGTCAAACAACACATTTGAGGGCCATTTAATGTCCAATATCAGCCAGTTACATTAGCACATACATACAAGTACACTGTGCTGTTAGTCAAATCAGCAAATGCTTTCCAAGCACTTGTGCTAAGGCATGAATAAAAGGTGGGGAAGACAAAATATGACAAAATCTTTACAAAACTCACAAGTCTAATGGGGAAATAGGCAATAATGTCACAGAAGAGAGTGAAAAATGCTATAGCAGAGCGTGGAACCCAGGACTTAAGCCTGGTGAGTTAAGCATTTGATCTGGCCTAGGTTAAAACAGACAAAAAACAAAGAAGCCTATTATTTGAAAGTTTGGCAAACGGTGGACACCCAAGTAGATGGCTCTTTTGTTTCACAAAACACCTTAATGGATTTTTGGGGTGGAAGCTATGCATGGACAGGGCCAAACCTTGCACGGTTCCAGGGGGACCATTCCTATTGTGGCTTGTACAATTGGCACCCTCTTGAGCACCATTCAGGTTGTATTCTTTATGAATGGTACCCCCTGGATTTGTGCAACCTGGCGATTCTGTCAACAAAGATAGGCCTGGAGTCTGGCCTGAGAGGAGGATTGAGCTAAATCCTTCTACATAATAAAGAGGAATTTTAAATCTTTGCCTAGTGGGTGGAGGCAGGAGGGTGGAGGGGTGCCTGTAATGGGGAGAAGAAAAAGGTTTGGAGGAAAGATCTCTAGGATGAGGGTGGGCCAGCAATTTGGCAACAACCTGGAGCCTATGAACCTGGTGAGAGAGTCCCTGTAATTTTTAAAAGAGTTGCATAAAATCCTCTGTCATCTTCTTTAACTTCTAGGAGACACTGACAAATGAAGTCAAACAACTTTTTCTTTGGCTTCAAGTATAGCCTTTGAACCTTTTATGTATGAATCAGCAGATAACCAGGAAAGATTTGATGCTCAGGCTTACATAGCAACACTTGGTTAAATATACAATACTGTAATAACTTGCCTTTTTACTGTTTTTCTTCAAAAAGCTCAAAGTGCTTATACTTTTATTTCCTCATTTGTTCTAACATTCCAGTGTGGGAGGGAAAGATTTATGATAACATTATTTATAGATAGAGAAATTGAAATAGAGATTAAGTCGCTTACTCAATGTTGCATAGTTTAGGTGGTGGAGCCCACACTGGAATTTGGTTCTCCAAGCTCCTGCCACGAAGTGGAGAGATCATGAGTTTTGGAATTAGAGAAATCTTTGTTTGAACAACCCAGAGTTCTGCCCTTTCAATAAGAATGTGGCCTTAAGTCACTTATTTCACCTAGGTCTCAGTTTTTCTCTTCTGTAAAATTAAGACCATAAACCTCATACTAGTGTAGTGAAGATTAATTTAGAAAATGCATGTAAAGCCCTGCCACAGAGCAGTTCCCAAATAAGATTAGTTCCACCCCTAACCCAGTATTATCTGGTTAAATTTCAGTACAGATTTAAAGTAATCAAAAAAGAATCCTCCATGAATACTCATTTTTTTTTTTCTAGCCTCATCTCCCACTGAGAGCAAAACATGAATAGAAATGCTTCCACACATCATTTAATTCAACGGGAGAACTTTTGCTTCAGTGGAGTTATTCCTGTTGGGGATAATTAGAAAAAAGAGTTATGTGGAAGACAAGATAGTAGAGTGCAGTGTTTCTAAAACTTGAGAATCTATCAGAGTCACCTGCAAGGCCTGTTTAAACACAGATTGCTAGGCCCCACCCTGGAGTTTCTGATTCATGAGGTCTGGAGTGGGGCCTAATCATTTGCATTTTTAACAAGTTTACAGACGACGTTGATGTTGCTAGTCCAGGGAGGACAGCTCAGAGAAGCACTAGCATGGTTAAGTGAAATTCGGGGGGTGGGGCCCAGCAATCTGTGTTTTAACAAGACCTCTGGGTAATTCTGATGCACTTACCAGTTTGAAAACCACTGGCATAGTGATGAAAAGCATCTGAGGAGACAGACACACGTTCAAATCCTGACTGTGCCATTTACTAGTTAGATAACTAGTTCGGTGATAGACCTCTAGCATATTTGAGTCCTGCGGGAGGCTGACAAGGTCAGGATTCCTTCTCACTATCCTTCTAAGCTCCTCTGTGGAAAGAGAAGTTAGTGAGTCCTGCCAATCCAGGCTCTGTTTTTCACTTCTTCACACTGTGAGGCACGAAAGGCTGCTTAAATTTGGGTATTAGGGAAGTAATTACAAACACTTCTGCAAACACAAAAATAAAATAAACAAGACAGCCCTGTAAATAAAGCCAATGGCAAAGGCATTGTTTACATCTTAAATTCATAATAATGGGTTTTGAACCATTTCCATTTTCCTGCCTTTCTTGCTAGAAAATTTTTAAAAACCTTCCTCCCCCACAGTTTTAAGAGCTGCTTGTAAATTTGTTTTGCAGACAGTATGCATGTTAAGAGGATCCCCCCCCATCCTCCCTCCCATATCTGGCCTCAGATACAGAATCTGCCTCAGATGTTCGGTGCTTTCCTGATTTTGTGGCTGAGGAATTCCTTCCTCACCCCCCCCCCTTCTTTTCCTGCTTGGCATCTGACCCTGTGGGTCCTCAGACTGTCCGAGCTCCCAGTGTCACAAGTATCCAGGCTGGCCCCAGGACATTCTTTGGCTTACCTACCTTCATTTTTCCTATTGCAAAACCCTCTACTCTTTATTTCCTTAACCTTTTCTATCGCTTATTGCTAACCCACAGTTTTCCAAACTGCCCCCTACTAGAGTGATCCACAGGAGGAGAAATTGTTCCTCTTGATGGTGATGGAGGAGAATTGTTGACTTTTATCCAGTCCTACTTGGTACTAAGTACACTGAAGGGTTTATCATGCATGTTCATTTTGAATTCCTACACAATCCAGAGATGATTGTCCGTATATGTATACGCACACACGCAAATGAGGAAACCGAGGCTTAAAGAAGTCAAGCAACTTGCTCAAGGTGAAAAAGTAAAAGTACATAACAGGATGCAGGCAATAAGATTCCAGAATCTCCTGGCTCTTGGCTTCTGTTCAAATTCCAAGTATAGGAATATAATTTGCCTCCTGCTCTTAAAGAGCTTAAAAATCTTGTTAGGGCTAGATGAGATTTATACACACAACACAAGTTAAAATCGAGAGCCACTGTTTGTGGTATTGGGTTTGGTATCTTTGACCGGCCTCCTTCTCTGCAAGATACAGATAAGAATAACAACCTCAAGGGGTATGGGGATGATTGACCGAGTTAAGCATCCGAAGCGCGTAATACAGTGCCTGTCGCGCAGTAAGCGTTCAGTAAATGTCAACTATCTCTATTTTTAAAGGAGGCGGACTGGAGTGGAGAGCATACTGGAGAGTCGGGAGGCCGGCTGTATACGCCGGATCCTTGCACCCAAATTCTCCGATCCTCGGTTTCCTGGTCCGTAAAATTAGGTGGCTGGAGTGGACTAACTGGAAGAGCAGTAAGGGACGCAGCCGTTGCCTGGAGATCCGAGAGGCCTCGGGGCAGAAAGGGTTAGTGACGAGTCTGGGGGCGGCTTTACGGCGCTCAGCGGGAGAGGCCCCGCCCCGCCCCGCCTGGGAGGCCCTGGCAGCTCCCGCCCGCGAGCAGTTCCGGTGCCAAAACGCTTCCCTCCCCCGCTTCCCCGGAAGTGCTTTTCCAAGGTTCGGGCCGGAGAGAGGCCTTGTAGGCACAGCTGCTGAGCCTCGATCGGCTCCGAGTAGGGGCTACTGCCCGGGTTGGAGCCCGGGGGTCCGCGGCGGCCGACCCGCGCCTGCCTCCTCCCAGCGCCCAGGCCGACGGTGAGTGGCCGGAGGAGCACACCCGGACGGCCGCGGGCCGCGTCAGGGCTTGTGCTCTCGGGCCCCCGCTGCCCGCTCTACGCTGCGGGCTCGGCTGTCGGGGTGCGGGGAAGGGGCTTGTCCACCGCCGACCTCCTCGCCGAGTCCGCCGGGCGGGAAGGAGCGGGCGGCGGGGCCTTGGGGTGGGCGGGGCGGAGCCGGGGAGGGGGTTCCTGGAGCTGTTGTAGCCGTTGGGACTTGAGAGTGGGGATGGGCTGGGCCTCGGTCCGTCCGACCTCCTCTTTTCTGCTCCCCTAAATCTTCGCGTTGCCTCCCGGATTTGGTTTTCTCTGTCGACCTGGGGTTGGGAACCTGGACACCAGACTCAATCTTGGGCTCCAGTTCCCGACTTTCGCGTCCTCCGGGTCTGTCCTCGGGTCAGTAATTAGCCCGGGTCCCAGGGGTGTAGTCTTCTCAGTCCCAGGGCTGGGCGATGCGTGTGTAGATGCCGGGGATCTTTTGCAAAGCTTTTCATCCAGACCCGCCTAGGGGTTGCCCGGAGATCGATTTGGACTGCGCTCAGGACCGGTTCTGGATACGTAGATCAGTGTGGCACCGGCGTGCCTCCCATGATCTTTACTCCCTGGAAAGCTTGCTCAAGCTGTTGCTGAAGTCATTTAGAAAAACAGCTTGCTTGAGGAAAATCAGTAGTTAAGTTCCCTTATTTTCTTGCAGACCTAAAAAAAGGATGCCATTCTGTAATATGCACTCCTAATTTTGGTGGCCATCTGAAGTCACAGTTGAATGGCGAGTTCATTCTGCGGTTATTGCACGAATTGATTACGGAGGGTTGGAGAATTATTTGTACCCCCTCTTCTCCGAAGTTTGTATACCTTCATATTTGGACCTGTCATTTTCCTTAACTTTTAAAGAAAAATTTTTCACAGTAACTCCTTAGAGGTTCCCTCTACTGTTAGAGTTGTGCTGCAATGCAGAGGTTCACACAGGTGGACAGAGGTGGTGTGTGTGTGTGTGTGTGTGTGTATATGTATGTGTGTGTGTGTGAACCTATATTTTGAAGTGTTTACCTCGGATAAATTGAGAATTTCCTAGAGGAGAAAGTGATGTAGGTAGTTTTTTTAGTGAACAGATTTCAGGTAGTACACTGCTGGAAGGTTTGTAGGCGATGAGAGCTTTCCACATTTAATAGTGATTTTTAAATTATGATCACAAGAGAGTGCGGTTACTGCAGGTTGTGACTGTCGTATATACAAACCACCTTTGTGAAACCAGTGGCACGTAACTGCATTTCTCATCTTGTGCTTATATTAGGACTTATACTGTAGTTTTTTGGGTACTTACCTCATTCTATCTCCTCCCACTACTGGAAGGGGAGGTAATGTCATGCATTAGGGAAAATAGACTGAAGTGGTAAGTTCAGTGGTAAGTGAGCTCTCCTTTGCAAAAGAAAATTTATTTCAGTGTTGTTGATTTTCAGCAGGCAAAGGGTGGATGACTTCTTAAAAATTGTTTCTTTTATTCCTTTACTGACTGTGGTCAAAGGGTGGTTGATTTTTAAAGTCTCTGGAAAAAATTGTGGAGGGAAGGTTAGTTGCCCACCTTTTAGATTTAGATGGAAACTGTAGATTCTTAGCTGTTTGAAGTACTTAATTGTTTAGAGCTTATGATTGGAATTTTGAATCGAGACAATCTGCAAAAGGAGTCAGTTAGATATGATTATGGATCCATACATAGAGTATGATAGCTAATGTGTTTTGAAGGGAAATATTTCAAGAATTATAAGAGCAGAAAAAGGTAATCGGGGAATTTCAGGTACCCTTAGGCACTGTAAATTTTATTATGTTCAAGTCCATTCAATAGATACTGAATATTTGCATTGTAAATTTTATTGTATTATTCAAGTCAATGGGTACTGAATTTTTGCTGTGTTAGGCATCAAGCTATGTTGGGCAACTGTGTAGGAACAAATATACAGCCATAACGTTAAAATTCATGTTTTGGCAATAATTTTCTAAGGTGTATCAGAAATCATGAAGAGGTAAATTGTATTGCTTAGGCATATTACAAAGTTTTTTCATTGTAGGTGGGCGTTGTGTGTTTCATGAAAAGCACTGTTAGGCATTATACGGTACAAAGATTAAGTATTTGGTCTTTAGGAATTTGAAATCTAGAAGGGGATGTAAGATATTTACATAAAAATATGTAAATACTTACTGTGTGAGTGGTTTGACCTAAAGTTTGGAGTTATATGAAAGGAAAATGAGTTCATTTTTAACTGGAGTAATCAGCTAAAAAGTGGAAGGTGGTGGAGGTAAAAAATACTCTGAAGCTATTGAGCACTTAGCATCATGCTCTGTGCTAGTTGCTTTCTATACATTTTCTGAGCTTCACAACGACATATAAGCATCTTTCTTAATAAATAAGGAGGGCAATGCTCAAGTATATTAAGTAGCTGAGCCTCAGTCTGAATCCACGTCCACCTGGTGCCAAAGCCTGTGCATTTCCACGATATCATGCTACCTCTCAATAAACTGGTAGCCTGAGTTTCACATTGCAGAGGGTAAGACTTTTCTAAAACAAGAATTTAGGGGTCGGGAGTAGGTGGATGAAGGCTTTTCAAATAAAGGGAGTGATGTAAGCACAAGGGTGGAGGTGGGAAAGTTCACTGTATACACAGAAAAGTTAGTGGACAGGTTTCTTAGAATATAGGGTTCATTTTTGGAAATAAGAGATGAGGTTTGAAATTTTAAGTGGGTCTGGATTGAGGAGCATGTTTAAATGCTGTATTTAGGAGTTCAACATTTAGGAGGTATTGAGAAACTACTAGGTCTAATAGTGTAGTATGTGAAATGATTTGTTGTAGAAAGCCAGCTTTCAGTATAGTATCCACACAGGGCAAGGGCAGTGGCATTGAGATAGAGTGGGTGGAGGAGGGATTGTTGGGAAAGGTTTGGAGAAACTGGAAGTTGAAAATTACATTCATTTTAAGTGTAGGTGATGGTGATGGTAGTGCTATTACTAGAAATATAAGCAAGGAGGTGCAGAATATCAGTTTTGAATATGTTGAGTTTTTTATATATTTGCAAAACACTGGAATTGCCCAGAGGCTTTTGGAAATAAGGGTTTGTAGTCCATGAGAGAGGTCAGTACTAGGCATATATTAAACATGGGTGTAGAGAGTGATACAAATGGATGTACTGGTTGAATCTGTATAAAGAGATGAAAGAGCTGAGAGGGAGTTTACAAGGAAAGAGAAAAATGAACCTTTATTTTAGATGGCATCTGTTTAAAACAGAAGGAAGAGATAGTCTGTACTGTATTCTGCTCCCTCCCATCGCAGATTCAGATGGAGTACAAAGAATCTGATCATTGAAAATCCAGTTGGGAAATAAAATTTTCTTGCCTTTGCAGGCAAGGATATTATGCTGTCATTACCCCATTTCATGGAGGATGAACTATTTCAGACTCACTGGTTCCAGAGTGTTAGGCTTTAGTTACTTAAGAGCTGTTTAGTCGTTTCTTTTGGGCATTTGTTGGCAAGTGATACGTGAGGATTTGGAAGCAGATCTCTGATAGGTATTCTATTTATTCATATTTATGACTTTCAATTTTGGTTTTAATATCAAAAGCCTTTGAATATCCAAATATAATTTTTGTCTCCTATTCCTACTGGCTGCTAATAGTGCCTTTCATGGAAAATGGTATTTAATTACATTATTTTCTTCCAACTCTCTTTTATAAGTACTTTTGATTAACACAGGTAGTTTTGTCTTTAATGTTCTGATTATCCTAGAGGGATGGAATGATAAGGTACTTTTTTCCGTCATGTAATGATACATATATAAAAACTACGTATTTTTATTTGGAAACTAAGGACTATAGACTTATGGAATTTCATGTAGTTTTCTGTTTGATATTTAAATATGGGGAACCTGTGTATTAATGTGTAATAGTTTGCAGAATGAGGCTGAGAGTTGTAACTTTTTGAGGGCAGGTTTATTATTTTTAGACTGAGTTACCAGGGAAGGGTTTATTTCCTTCTTGAGAATTAATACATTCCTTTTGTTTCTGAGAAATATGTTTTTTACTATATCACAGGCTCTTGGGAATGTCCTGAGAGTCCTGCGTCAGTCTTGTCGGAGGCAGGGGGTTTTTGTGTGTGCTTTGTCTGGGCTGGTTGGCTTAGTTGCAGTGAGCCTGGTATTAATGAGGCAAAGGTCAGGAGTTCCATTTAGCTTCGGTCTGAGTGATGGCCAGGGAAGTACACCTCTAGCCAGCTGTCTTGGAAATTCCTCAGTTGTCATTGGTCACAAAGGTGACTGGATTAGGATGGATCTTTATACCACTGAAAGAATATTAGAGGAAACTTAGCATAATGGTTAGTAATTCTGACTCTGGGATTAGACAGACCTGTGTCAAAATTCTTTGTCCGAGATGTTGGGAGAGTCCCTAAACCTCTTCAAGCCTCTACTTCCTCATTATTGAATAGGTTAATATTTGGTTTGGGCATGTCCTACTGTTGTTTTCTTTTTCCAAGTGGGAGTTAGCTGCTTAGACCTGTGGTTCCCCAGTGCTGGACTATGGAGAGGTGTCAGTCCATGACAGAGTTTTCACTTGTCTGAAATGAGAATGAGTTAGCTTTTCATAAAGCTAACTCTGTTGAATTTAAAAGGTATTATTTTTTTCTAAAACTGTCTTTTACCATTTTTGATGTAAGCATATTAGTTATTTTATGAAATAATGGTGGTGGTAATTGGTAGTTATTTTCTTTTTAAATGTTCTTGGCAAAATAAAAGTTGGCAACTCTGTGCTGGTCCCCCAGTTTTGTTTTTAAGATTATGGTTCTGTGAATTCTGAAAATCTTGGCTTAAACAGAACCAGGGAATTGGGGGAGATTACTCATCTAATATGTTATACATAGTCAAGTTAGGTTTGAGGGTACATTCTACCCTTCTGTTACCCTATAGGAACTGTATTTTGATTCTCATCACTGCTGAATT